GTTGTTGCTGTTGCTGCTTTCAGCATTTTTATGAATGAAAAGTTGTTGCTGCTGGTTGCTGTGGCTACGTATTGCTGCTGGCTGTTGCTGCTTGTTGCTCTGCGTGTGTGTGTGTGTGTGTATTGCTGCAGCTTGTTGTTGCTGCTGCTGTTTTTCACAATTTTTAATGAATGACAGCAACAGTAACGGCTATGGCAGCAACAATTGCTCGTAGCCTTTTGTTGTTGTTGTTCTTTGGATCGTCTGTTAATTACGATCGAGTTGCAGTTGCTGTTGCTGCTGTTGCTGCTGCTGTCCCAAACACGATTGTTGTTTTGTTTAATGAACACATGCGCAGTTGCCGTTGCTGCTGTTGTTGTTGTTGCTGCTCGCACGCGGTTTTTATGAATGAATGAATCAACAACAACAACAACAGCAGCAGCAACATCAGCAGTACCAGCAATACGCGCCCCGTTTGCGTATTTATAGTTATTTGTTTTTGCTGCCGTCGCCAGACGCTGTAAACAATGCGCCTTTGGCACGTAATTAGCACACTTACAGATAGCAGCAGCAACGAAAACAACAACAACACCAAAAGCAACAGCAACATCCACCAAATTGGAACGTGTCCGTCAATAACTGTAACTAGATCTTGACTGAAACGGAAACTGTGCTACTGCAGCACACATTTCCGCTAGATCTTTTCCAATATATGTGTATTGCTGCTGCTGCTGCTGCTGCCAGCAACAGCAGCAACATGTCCCAATAGCAATCACATACGCATATGTATTTACGTTTTTCTTCTTTTGCTTTATCAAAAAATTGTTACAAGTATAAGAAAAAAAAAAAAAGTTGACTTGGCGCGCGCGCCAGTTCCAAAACTTGAGCTGATTGCCTCGAGAAACACGACAGCAACAACAACAACAGCAGAAGCAGCGGCAGCAATAGGTGCAACAACAACAATATATATAAATATATATAAAAGTGGGCAAACTAGTTTTATGGTATCCAAGCATCCGTTGGCTCAGGTTGTAGCAGCTCTGGCTTTAAAGCATTTTTTTTTCTTGAATGGAGCTCCACTGTAAAAATTGTGGACTGGAATTTTCTGTAAGTTGTTGTTGTTGTTTTACGTGAATAATTGTGCTATGTTGTAGCTGTTGATGTTGTTGTCATTGATTGTTGTTGTTGTGCGTTTTATGCTAATGCGTTGGGCATTATTAAAAATATGTTTGCTCATAAGTGCACTGCGAGAAAATGGTTAACTGCTTGATTGACAATATGTATATATTTTATTGGATATATAATATAATATGGGATATATAATATATATAACTTGTGACAATGCTTTTGCATTGACCGTTATTGCTTTGCCATTTTTCTAGATTTTATTTCGAATATTTTGTATATATTTTGTTATCAACAAGACCACAAAAGTTTATATGCTTTCTACTTACTAAAAAAAAAAAAAGCTGAAATTTACATTAGACATCCAAGTCCCTTTTCTTTATATATAGATTTGAATATTTTCGCTCAGTGTAGGATTAGGTATGAAAGTCTTCTGTTCAACGTTGCAAAATTTCCAAAAATCTTTTTATTTATATTTTATAAATTATGTTTATATCATATCAGATATTAAATCTCTTTTCTTATGTTAATTTTCGCTCAGTGTATGATTTATGCCAACCACAATCGCTGCTGCTGTTGTTGTTGTTGTTTCTGTTAGCATTATTGTCTACTCTCTTCATTCATTTTTTTCTTTTTATTATTTTCTTGTTTTCGCTTTGAATCACATTGAATAATTTCTAAATTTAGCATAAAAATCATTCCCCGACGAGAAAGGCAAATAGATAGAAAGAGAGAGAAAGAAAAAACTAATAAGAAAAATTATGAAAGAATGCAAAAAAAAAAAAAAAACTGAAAAAAGTTCAAGTCGTAATACGAGAAACTGGCATAAGCTAGACATGCGCTGTAAGTCGTGATCGTGTCGTGATCGCATCGTGATTATGGCCTAACGTGACTTCCACATTGAAGATGATTTGGCTACAAATCAAATATGATACGACGACCTTCAGGCCGGCCTAAACAAAAACAAAAGCAAAAGCAAAACACACCCATAAATTGATGTGATATTTGTGTGTGTGTATGTGCGTACAGTGTGACCTGGCTATGGCTGTCGTAAATTCAGTTTTATTGTGAATGAAATTAACATAAAATATTGAGAGAGTAAAGAAGATGGCAAAAAGCTATGAGAGTCGTAGCTATTGTTGTTCAAAAGTAGGGCGTGCCTCGCTGTCGATAAACAACTGTAGATCACGCATTGCGCATACGCACAGTTGGCCGACGACGATACAAAAAAATGCCGTTTTCACACCTGGCTGGCAATTACAACAGTAACAATAAAAGCACCCACGTGGCCGACTGGCTGTCGCTCCATCTGTCTGTCTGTCTGTCTGCCTGTCTGTGTCTGTTCCTCTGTCTGTCTGTCTGTCAGTTGAGCCATGTTTATGCTTGATTTGTTTATGCATTTATCAGTCAATTGAAATTCTTTGAAGACCTTTGCTATCTCTTGGCCAAGAATTTAACAGCATGTCATTCATGTTGGCAGCAGCGGCCGGCAGCCGGCAGACGGCAGCCAAAAGCCAACAGCTTTTAGCCATGCCACGCGCACTGCGACGAAACTCTGTCAGTTGTTTAAGCCAAATATGCGTAGCTGATCTGCTTGTATATGGCTAACAAATCAGTTGTGTTGTTATTGTTGTTATTGTTGTTGTTGCTGCTGTTGTTGCTGTTGCCCATTCAAACATTTGGACGCTCTGTCGCTTTGCCATTCATTCATAGATTGACTTGCTCAGCGAAGCGAAACGCAGTCACTGTCAGCGTCGACGTCGCAGTCAGCTTTGGCGTCGCCATCGTCGTTGCCGTTGCCGTTGCCGTTGCCTTTGCCGTCATTTTACGTTTTCATTCATACGTCTCCACCCTGTCGCTCAATCGCTCGCTCCTGCTCACTCCCATTGCTGGAGCGCCAGAGTTCTCGCTCATTCCATTTGCTCGCTTCGTCGTATTTCATTCATGAATTTTCTTTCATTCAGCTTTGCGCGTCGCCCCTCTTTCTCTCTCACTCTCTCTCGCTACAGCACCACAACCTCTCTTCACAACTCTACGCCGCGCTACGTCTCTCACTTGCACACACACACACACACACACGCATCTCCCTGTTGCTTGCTGTTGCCGCTGCGCTTCTCATTCCTGTCTGTTCTTCTGGCTCTTCTTCTTGTTGTTGTTATTGTTGAAATCATTTTTAAATACCGGAACTGAATGTTTAGCGCTTTTAAGCATGGGAACTTTTTGTTTTCTTCGGCATCGAGAAAAAAAAAACAACTTTAGCTTGCTCTCGCTCTTTCTCGCTCTCACTTACTCTTCTCTTACTATTTCCAGCGCTTGTTTTTGTTCTTCGAACAGGAATTTTTTGGCTTTTTTTCTATTTTAGGTGTTGTTCTTATGCCTTTGCTTTGGGTTATTTTGTTTTGTTTTTTTTTTATGCCCGTTCAAAATTTATTGCAGACATACGGATTTCGGAATTTATGGGACAGCCATAGCGGGAGCTGTGCGTGTTGCTGCTGCTGCTGCTGTTGTTGTTGTTGCTGTTTTAGGTGTTGCGGTCTGGCCGAAAGTCTGGGAGATGTGTGTCACGGCAACTAGAGATCGATTTAGGAGTTCTATCGGGCTTACGGCCAAGCCTAAGCGAATTCAATTAAGAATTTCCCTTAACTTCAGATGAGATTTATAATTCTAAATATGTAGATGGTTTCCTAGCAAACAACATTGATCTTTGGCAAAAATAATCTTGAGAAATGAAGTCCTTCTAAAATCTTCTGTCTCTTAATGACTAGATTAAAAAGTAAATCCTTTAATCAAACGAGGTTTGCTCTATGTGAACTGTTTTTATTTCAGAAAAGTAAAGATAGAAATTGACCTCTGATCAAATAAATTCTAATTACTCATTTTTCGCACATTTCGTATATAATGAAGTATAGATTACAAACTGTCTGCATTTAGCATTTGTATCATCTTCCATTTCCTACTTGATTCATTCAAATGCCAAGGCTTTGGTGAACTTAATATTCATATCCAACGTTTCTCTCAGTGCATTGCAAGGCTCTCCCTCACTCCCTCCCACTCTTTGCGCTCTCTGGCTTGTTTATAGTGTCAATATTATCGTGCCGATTGCTGTTGCTGTTGCTGTTGATATTTCACGCCTCATGACAACTAGGGAGTGTTTTTTCCAATATTTTTCAATGGATTGGCCATACGATCTAAGCTTGTTAACTCATACCCAATGTAAAGTGAAACAATTGTCGTTGTTTCACTGGAAAGATTCGTATCTGAGCCGAACTTGGGGCGCAACTTGGCTTAGTCATTGTTCGTGCCTCATATTGAACTCTTGACCCGCAGCGCTAATTGGTTTAGAAGGTATCGCAATTGCTCAACTGAGCTGAGTTTAATTGATCAAATGTGACGACAACAGCAACAGCAACAGCAGCAACAGCAACGTTGTCAATAAGCGAAACAACAAACAACTTTCATTTTTCATATATAAAGCGATGTTTCTGTTGTTGTTGCTGCTGCGGCTGCTGCAGCTGCAATTAAGTGTGTGCCCCGTTTTGGTGGGTGTCAAGTGTAATGGCTTTTACAGAACGTCAATCTCTATAGGGCGGCAGCTAAATATAGACAAAAGCCCAGAGCCAGTTATAGCCGCAGCCTCGCAGCGAAACCTGCTGTTGGCGGCTTAGCTAATGCTTCTTCTTACAGTTGCTGGCGTGGGCTTAGAGCAGCCAGTTACAAATGGCAATAACAACATGGGCAACTAGCTAGCTATAGCAGGTGTTGCTGCTGCTGCTGCTGCGGCTGCGGCTGCATTATGCAATCGCTATGCAAAAGGCGCAGCAGCAACTGTTGCTGATGCTCAATTAGCTAGCTCTCTCTGTCTCTCTGTGTCTCTATCTCTCTTTCGTTTTACTTACCCCAACTTGATAGAGTATGCGCAGATCCTTGACGCTGTGCGCATGCTTATTGCTATTGCTGCTGCTGCTGCTGCTGCTGGTGGTGGCCCGATGTTGCTGCTGCTGCAGCATTTGGCGCGCGCGTCTGCCCATAGCAGGCTCCAGCTCTGGCTGCTGCTGTTCCGCTGAGATGCTGACCACATCTACAGTTAGCGGCTTTTCGCTGGTTGGCCTCGCCGTGCTGCTGGTTGTGGTTGTTGTTGCCGCTGCCGCTGCACCTGTTGTTGTTGGTGTTGCTGCTGTCTCTTTGGCATCGTAGATAGTATATTCCAGGCTCTTGAGCTTTGCCTCGCTCTCGGCGCTGCTGGCCGTCGGCGTCAGCTCGTAAACCTCGAGCGGCAGTCGCGTGCCCTGCGCACCGCCTGTCAACAGCAGCAGCAGCACTGGCAGCAACAGCGACGGCAGCAACATAAGCCGCAGCAGCAACAGCAGCGAATGCGCACGTATGCTGGCCATTACAGTGTGTGTCTGTGTGTGTGTGTGATTGGGTGTGTTGCTGCGGTTGTTGTAATTGACACTTTTTTTTTTGTGGGCAACAGCAATAGTTGTTGCTGTTGGCAAATCGAAACGTTGATTGTTTTTTCTATAGATAGTATTGACTGTATCTGTTTGTGCTTTGGCTTTGCTAGTTTCGAATTAGCCTTGGTCAGCAGCAACAGCAGCGGCGACTGCCTGCCTCACTAGCTGCCAACATGTCAACACACAAATCAAACAATTTACAGGGTATACACTTGGTTTTCTTCAGTTGCTATGGTTGTACACACTCTTGCTATATATATATATTTGAATCTGAATTATTTGTTATATATATTTAGTGTGTTTCAGAACACGCGCTTCGAACTCTCGAACTTTTCAACGTGTTGTTGCTGTGGCACGCGGTCTCGTCTGCTCGTCGCAAACTCACAATTCGAACTGATCAAACAGCCAAACGAGCGACAGCAACTTCAACAGCCGCTGAGCGTGCGGCAGGCCAGTAAATGAGCGAGCGAGCGAGCGAGTGAGAGTGTGTGTGTGTGTATCTGTGTGGCCAAGACTTGAATGAACGCACACAGACACACAGGCACACACACACACACATAGTCAGGCAGCAGCAGCAGCAGCAGCGACTGCGACGCATTGAATGAATGAATGCGGCTAGCAGCGCAGCATCCCTTGCATATGTGTATGCGACTGTGTGTGTGTGTGTGTACTGGTGTGCTGCTGCCTGCTCGCATGTCTCTCTCTGTGTGTGTTTGTGTGTGTGTATCTATGTGCCTGCAGCCGGCTCGCGTGCTGAGCGCTTGCCGTTCGGCCGTTCGGCTGGACGTTTGGGTTGCATCCTTTAGCCCGTTTTTGCTGCTGTTGATTTTATTTATATTTATTTGTATTTTTCTTATTCCCTTGTTGTTGTTGTTGTTTTTGCTGTTGTTTCTCTCTGTTGTTTTTGTCATTTTTACTACGACCGGAAACTAATTCCTGTCCAGCGACATTGTCTGGCTGCGTGTTGTTGTTGCTGCTGGTTGTTGTTGTTGTTGTTGTTGTTGTGGGTATTTTTTGTTGCTGGCCTCAAGCGCTGCTGTTGCTGCTTGTTTAATTTCGCGCGCATGCCAAAAAATAAGCCAGCATCAGCTACAACAACAAGACAAACTTTAACGCTTCTTCAGCTGAAGTGGCCAACACACACACGCACACACACACGCATACAATTCAAGCGAAAAGCGCGCGCTTCTGCAGAAAGCCCGCCAATTTTTTTATGGTTCTAGCGATAAGGTTTCATTTCAGTTAGCATTTCCACTTGGCCAAGGCACAGCTTTAGCCGGGATCACAGCACAGAGTAGAGCCAAGTCGAAATGGCTGTGGCTTTTATAAGCTTTACTTGAATTTTGTGAACTGAACTGTCGGCATAAAGTCGTAAAGTCCTATATGAAATATTAGCTTGACTTAAGGGCAAGCCAAGTCCTAGACTATAACTTCTAGTGACATTTATTAGCTTTAAGCTGTATTTTAGCTAGCAGTCAAAGTTTGCTTTAATGCCACAGACTTTCGCAAATATTATGCCCTGAAAAATTCATTAAGAAAATGAATCTGTATGGATTATATCCTGAAAACATGTTCAAGGAGAAAGTGCATGAACAATATGGCAGAATAATAGCTATTCCCAGGGCTCAGGCTGCCTCCTAGTCGGTTGATTCTGTCTAGAGCATGCATACTTGCCTTTTCTTAGTTGTCCATCGATTTCCAGCAGCTCAAACTGTAATTCATATAAAGTTGTGTCCTGTAAATTAGTTAGTTTCCATCAAGGTGTTGCTAATGTGAAGAATGTTAAATATATTATATTTTATATTCAAGAGCAGAATATTTGCCTTCAATTATAGCCATCATAAAATAGAATAAAGTTTCGCATTTATTGATATTTAATTGTTTTTTTATTTTGGGTCTCTTGCAGGTAAAATGTACGCTGTGATTGGCAGGCGTCATGGCAAAATCCTATCGGGCGACCTGACCCAGGGCAGCGGCAACTTCTCGGTGACCTGCCTGCTGCCGGTGATCGAATCGTTCAACTTTGCGCAGGAGATACGCAAACAGACATCTGGCTTGGCCTGTCCGCAGCTAATGTTCAGCCACTGGGAGGTAAGTGTGCAATCAGAGCAGCTGTTGCTGTTGCTGCAGTTGCTTGATCTCTTTTTTGGGCGCAAGTCACAAAAGTTGCCCCTCTTGAAACATATGGCATATGTGCGTGCTTTTTGCCTTTACGGTCTGTCGTTGGTCAGCTAAAATCTCAGTTTACCTACGCTGATGCTGCTGCTGCTGCTGCTGCTGCTGCTGCCTTCTGCTGAAGTCTTATAAGCTAAACCACAGCAGCAGCACCAGTGGTAGCATCAGCAACAGTTGCTCTGAAAGTTATATGGTCCATTTGAGCTGCTGTTGCAGCTGTGTGCAATATTTTATTGCTGGCAGTTGCCAAAGCAATGCCAAGTGCTCGGCCTTTCCCCTGACCTTGTGCAGTGCCCAAAGTTGATCTCAATGCCCACTTGGTCGAGCGGATGGCGTATGGCGTATGTCGGATGGGCCCAAACGGCGGATGGGCTCGCTCAAAAAAATGATTAATATATAGAGAGGCGCAGCAGCGCACGTGCACCACACAAAGGCGTCAATTACGTTTTCAGCAAGTGTTTAGCTTCAACTGATATATATGTAAAATATATCTTTTTATTGGGACTAGGGCATTTAGTTTATAGAATTCCACTCTCCTCCATCAAATTATAGCTTATACTGAATAGAGCTGTGCATCCATTCGCAAATTTTTGATTAGATTGGATGTTGAGCAATTAAACATTTCTTTGCTACCAATCAAGACTTTTTTGGAGATACTTAAATAAATGTATCAATTCAATATATCAATCACTGAAATATAATATAAATTCTAATTCAATTTTGTTGACTTAATTATTTTGTTTTTAATTCAAATTTATTGTTTATTTATTTTCTTCAAATCAGTTGCTACCAATTAAAAATATAGTAAATTGTAAATTTAGTGAAAATTTAATTTTTTTAAATTTTTTTTTAAATGTTATTTATCATATATATTTTTTTTTATATATTTCTTATTTTTATTTATTTGCTTTTCTTAAAACCTTTTTTTAAATGATAGTGTGTGTATGTGCTCGTGTGTGTGTGTGTGTGTGTGTATTGTGTATCGCCCAACCAATCGATAACAACAAGTTTTTGTATAATGACTTCCGGTGATTTTCTATTTCTCAGCTGAAGTTTTGCCGGGAACGTTGTCTACGTTGCTTTTGTTGTTTGTTGTTGCTGTTGTTTGTTGTTGCTGTTGCTGTTACTGTTGCTGGTTGTTGTTGTGTTTTTGCTGCTTTCGTATAATTTCATACGCATTTCCAGCATCCGTCCGAAAAGGGAGGGACGCAGCACATTTGTAACTTTCCGTGGCGTCTCGTCGTGTAGAAATCTAAACGGAAACTAGTTTGGCCAGCAGCACAAATAAGTGCATTATTATTAAGACAATGGGAAAGCTAAAACACAACGTGCTTGCTGCTGCTGTTGTTGTTGTTGTTGTTGTTGTTATTGCTGCTGTTGTCGTTGACTGCCATCAATTAGAATGCGACAACAACAACAACAACAACATCGACATCGACAATCGCCGTGATGTGTGTCACCTGGCGATTGAGTTGGTTCATTTCATATCGCAAGAAAAAAAAAACTTGCTGACGTTTTAACACAATTAAAAGCAGTTACGCCCACCTCCACACACACACACACACACACACACACACACTGAGTTATGTCCAAGACTGACCGCGAGTGCGCGGGCGTGGGCGTGGGCGTGGGCGTGTTCAGTGGGCGCAGTTGTCACGTGCCCACAATAAAGCAAGCAACTGGCCTGAGGTGGGTGGAGCTGGAAGCAGCGGACGCATTTGAATGCTGTTGCCACAATGATGCGGCCTACAAAGAATTCGTTAACAACGGCAACGGCCACAGCCACAGCCACAACCACATTTGAGCTGTTGCACTGGCAGCTATGCGACTCCACCTCTAGATCTTTCTCTAATTCTCTCTCTTTCTCGCACTGAGTGTCTCTCCTATTCTTATTTTTTATATATTTATTCTAATCTCTCTTATGTTCATTTTCTGTCTTCCTTACCGTCTCTTTGTTACTGCCCCTCTGTGTCTCACTCTATTCCTCTCTCTCTCTCTCTCTTTCTCTCTCTTTTACTCCCTCCTTTCTCTATCTCTCTCTTTTACTCCCTCCTTTCTCTGTCTCTCTCTTTTACTCCCTCCTTTCTCTGTCTCTCTCCCTCTCTGTCTTACTCCCTCCTTTCTCTGTCTCTCTCTCTCTTTTACTGCGTCCTTTCTCTGTCTCTCACTCTTTTACTCCGTCCTTTCTCTGTCTCTCTCTCTCTCTTTTACTATCTCTTTCTTTCTCTCTTTTTCTCTCTCTTACTCCCTCCTTCTTTCTCTCTCTATGCATCCATCTTTGTCTTATCCTCATGCTCTGTAAACTCACCCCGCTTATCGACCTTTCTGCTCGAGTCCCAAAAATAACTAATTTTCAGTTTTCATATATGTAAGTCGATTCCTCATCTAACGAATTAAAGCCTCAAGCAGACACACACATATACATATATACATTTTCATATATATATATAGTTTAAAGCTTAGGAAGTCTCTCCCTGCTGCTATTGCAACTGCAACAGTTGCTACTGTCTTGCGCATTTCTGTTATAATTTGATATTGCAATACCCTGTACAGAGCATGACAACAGTAGAGTATACTTAACATTCCGCTAAGCAATAAAGTGTATTCGGCTAAGTATGTCAACTTATAATATTGAAATATAACTGCGGTAGGGCATATAACTTTAATATTTGTATAATAGATATATGTGATAGTATATGCTAAAAATATCTTCGATCAACTCTGCGAAAGCCATTAACTATACTATATATGACTATATATTTGTAAGTTAGTATGATGTATCCGATAAAGTAATTAAAATTATTCTTAGTAACCAGATCTTCACTATAATCTTCCTTATTTTACTCAATTCCATATATTCTATATATAATTCCGTAAACACATTTTGAAAGCATTCTTTTCCCTCAAATTTCTCCCATTATTACGCAATCAGTACACGATTCTCTTTGCTCCGCTCAAGGCCTTCTTTGCCTCATTCCAAATTACAAGAAAGAAAAAAAAAGTAAATAAATAAAATCCCCTCCTAAAATTCCCTTTCAGCTCGGCTTTGGCTACTGGTCTTACTTGGATTCTTATTGGAGTTTCAAATGAGCAGCGGCAGGCACAGACCGGGTGGAAGGAGGATGGGGAGGGTAGGGGTAGGGGTAGAGGTCCGCTTGTGCCTTTCATTTGTTCAGTTTGCTGTTGTTATTGTTGTTGTAGTTGTTGTTGTTCTTGTTTAGAGTGTTTATCATTAACGCGTCGCATATGATTGTTATTATTATTATTATTGTTGTTGTTGTGTTTGTTGTTGTTGTTGCTGTGCTTTGCATAACTTGAAAACTACTTGAAGTGAAAAATAAAACAGAGCAGAACAGAGCTGAGGCAGAGCAGCGAACCCAAAAGAACAGAGCCAGAAGAGGGCAGAGCAGGGCAGAGCAGAGCAGAGGGGCCCAGACAAATAACAAATAATCTGATAACTCGTTTTGTACCTGCAAGAGACAGCAGAGAGACCCCCAGCTTCCAGCTAGCGAGACTATCGCCCCAGCTCCAAAGGGAAAGTCTTCAATGGAGCGCAGAGCAGGCGAGGAATATGGAATATGTTGCCCAGTGCTAAGACGACGATGACGACGACTGCGAGTCTTGAGGTTGAGGTTGAGGTTGAGGCCGTGGCAGTGCCCTAAAGTCTACGCTGCATATGGCACACACACACACACATACACACCTGTATTTGCATGTGCGTGTGTGTGTGTGTGTGTGGTTTTGTTTGTGTGTATATTTTGAAGTTGAGGTCCAAGCCGGCAAGTGCTTATCCAAGTGGCTGTGGCAATCCTTTAGGCAGTTGTTGTTGCTGTTGTTGTTGTTGTTGTTGTTATTGTTGCGCTTAAGTGGAACGTGGTTTGCATTGTGCGCGCTGTCAAAATGACGCTCGTCGAGGCTCGAGGCTCGAGCTCGACTTTGCAGCGCATGCGCAACGGACGTTCCATTTGTATTGCTGTTGCTGCTGCCGCTGTTGCTCGTGGTCACAGCTAGCACTCTGCCTCTGCCTCTGCCTCTGCTTTTGCCTCTGCTTCTGGCTCTGGCTCTGGCTCTGGCTGTGGCTCTGTTTCTGGCGCGCGATAATAATCTCAACTGCGGGCCGCGCTTTGCTCATATATATATATATATATATATATATATTTATTTTTTTTTTTACTCTGTTGCCCCTTCCTCTGCCGCTGCCTCGTTCCCGATTCTGTTCAGAGCTGCGCGTATTTCGGTAGCTGCCGCGTAAATTACCTGCATGCGGACAGGTAAACACACTCACACACACACATACACGTACGTACGCTTATACAAACAATCAGTCGAGAGTATCCGACTCACGCGTCTCTCGCGTGTTTCGTCTTTCAAGCGAAGTATCAAGTCACAAATGATATATGTACATTTATATATACATGATTTTCTTTTATCATAATACGAACTGTTCTTAGTATAAGGAACTCAAAAATATGGAATGACATGTCTTCTATGAAGCGTGCATATGTGGAGAAAAATATGATGCTCCTGAGCATAGCTACCTGTAGGACTTTTGTAGTATTATTTTCGTCATCTTCTTTTCGCTGTAGGACTTTTTTATTTTCTTCTCCTTTTCTTCTCTATTATTTTGCCTTATTTTTATCAAGTGTTGAATCCATGCCATTCAGCTTTAGTATCTTAACAATACAATCGATGAAATATAAAAGATAAAGTCACTTGCTAACAGGCCTTAAGTCGGTGGGGCAAAGGGAAGGTGTTGAGTATATCAAGTTCTTCTGAATCGAATTGGGGGATTTATACAGCAACCGATTTAAGGCTTAAAACTTTTCAGCAAGTAACTTAACATTGTTCTATAATGTTTCCGATCTGAATTTCCTTGTTTTCTCTCTTTAAACTTCATTCTTATTCAATTTAAGACCGCGAAACTTTCGAATCTCTTGCCTTTCCAAATATTTTTCTATACTCGGAGTTGTATTACTTAAAGAACTCCCCTTCATTGCTATCTTTGAGTATGTCCTATGGGACTGTGATTTCACGTAGTCAAGCTGGGATCTGAGCAAAGGACTATGTCTATATATACTACTGTAAAGGATCTTAGGTTACTCATTATATATTTATAATGAAATTTTTCTAGAATTTTAATTCTTATTATAAAATTGAGTACTTCTAGCTATTCAGATTCTCTCCAAGTACCCGAGCTAACTTCTGATTTGCTTAGTTTCTCGCGGTGTATGCCGCCGTTTGTGCTCATTTGTCTGGACCGGCTCAGACGCAAGCGTTGCGCACTTTTGGAGCACTTCAGCTGCCAACGGGCTTGAATTGTTTTGTGTTGTTCGACTTGACGAACCGTTGTGCGTTGGGGAAAGCAGCGTTCCCTTCTAGCTGCGTGTTCTTCTCGAAGACTCTTTTGAGCATGTGCAAAAGGATAGCAAGGAAACACACACACACACACATACAAACAAACTGAGCTTAAGCTGTAGCTGGGGATTGCCCGTGTCTTGGCGTGGACCGCGTGTCGTCTTTGCAGATTACGTTAGCTACTGCTGCAGCCTCATCCTCTCTCTCTCTCTCTCTCTCTCTCGTCTTGCTCTGAGCTGATCTCGTAGCCCCTGCCTTGGCCTTGTTCGTTGTTGTTAAACAAGCGAAACGTTGTGCCCGATAATCATCTACATTTGGGGCTCTGGGAGCACAGTTTAGCGTAGTGCGAACAGATGCTGCTAAAGGAGAACAAGTAAAAGTGCTTCAATTCGAGCATGCACAGCTAGCACATATTCTATAAACAGTTCAAATATGGGAAGGTAATAAATGGATAGGTTGAGTCCAAGCTCGTTGGTTAAGAATATTACGAGATACACCATCTGAGAAATCTTCTTGTAAGTAAATGACCTGCTAGCCTTTCTATTATAAAGGAAACCCCCATTCAGAATCTCTGCTATCAGCTATCAACTATAAAATGACTTGCTAGTCTTCACATCCAGAACCTTCTCTGTTATATAGGCACAGCATCTAATTAGAGAGCAACAAAGTGAAAGGCATTCGTGAAGAGCATCTCTAGTCAGAGACTCTTCTCGATTTTGAGCGTCTATTCGATATTTCTCATATGATTCAACTGACTGTAAGAGCTGATCAGGGTTAGATGTATGGCCTTGAGACTAGCAGACTTGAGTTAGCAGCTAGCTAGCTCATGCCTATGGCTATAGGCAAGATACCCCTTTCGCTCAATTGGCTGTATAGGGTATACTTAACAAAAGTTTCTTTGCGCACGAACTGAAACCAAATCCTGTTGCAACTCTTCACTCAAGCTATTCACAAAAGCAAAGTTCCTGGCATTGAGCTGGCTTTTCGTTAGGGGCCAGCCTTTCCGCAGAAGCAGCACAACAAGAACAACACGGTTCGACACCCGCCTGCTGTGCACAACAAAACACAACCAGGCTGGTTGCTGTTGCTGGTTGCTGTTGCTGGTTGCTGGTGCTGTTGCTGGTGCTGGTTGGCAATCATCAATCACTGGCAAATACTTCACGCCATTCACTAAAATTCTGCGTATCCTGGCGTGCCTTATCACGCAATGGACGCCTTTGTGTCCTTTCTATCCCACTTGGTATTGAAAAAGTCATTAAGGATGCGCAACAGCCATTTGAATGTCTTTCCAGACGGGACACTCGAGGCACTCGAGCGTAACAATGAAGATGTGAAAATGCACGCTTTCCCTGATTGCCAGCACGCACACACACACACACACGCATACACATACACACAGAGAGACATATAGAAACGCTCACACGCACACAGTCATAAAATATCACGCAAAGCAGGCGCAGGCGCAGGCGCATAGACCCAGCGACGCCGTCGTATATACCCTATTGTCCTCGCTCAAGTGGCCCGCCTTCGATTCCGTTTTGTGGCTAAATGAATTCCTGGAAAACTTACTAAAAACAGATCTCTGTGTGTCTCCTTCTGCTTCTTCTTCTACTTCTTGGCAGGTGATTGATATTGATCCCTTCTGGCTGCCCACAACCGAGGAGGAACTGATGCACTTTGGCGAGAAGGCCGACTCAGCGAATCGAGCGAAGCTCTACATGGACAGTGTCCGCAGGCGCAAAGGACTCTTTGTGGACGAGAAGGTGGTGGAACATGCCGAGAAACAACGCACACTCTCCAAGAATAAATAAACGCAAAGAAAACCCCGCAGGTAAGTTGCTAAATCTTTGGTTAGGTTAGCAAATTGCTAAATCTTTGATTAGCCTTAATCTCTGAGTAGCTGTGAGTAGCTCAACATGCGCTAGTCACATTCCAGGTTAGATTGAGAGTTTATCCCAAAGATCCTAGCTGCAATGGACTAGTATCCAAAACCAAACAGAATAAAAGGTCGCCCCGTTTAAAAATAGAAAATTTCTTGTCTTTTATTAGCTTAAAACACAGATCGTAGTCGAACTCAATGAGTTTCCTGCTGGGCATTGTTGCCCTGTTGCGCCTGCTTATTCTCATTACTGATCAGTCCGTTCTCGTTCTCCGCCACCTCGGGCACAGCCAGTGAGTTTCCGCCCAGCACAAGGTGAATGCAGCTGCGAAAGCAAAGCGTAAATAGAAGTCAATCAGTCGATGGGTTTCACTTACAGCACTAGCAGAAAGACCAGCAGTTGCGTGGCCAAGGTTAGAAGGAAGATGCCGTCTCCGTGACTTGATTGGAGCGTCGCCCGATAGATCTGGGTGTAGCAAACGCCGCTGATGAACGGCACAGCATTGTCGCAAACGGAGAGCAGAGCAAAGACCTTGCCACGCTCCGACTGTGGCACTATTTTGGACGCCATCGAGCGTATCATTGGTCCGACTATAGGGCCCAGACTGCAGACAACGGCGCCGACATACAACAGCGTCGGACCAGGCGCAAAGTAGTAGAACAAACGGGCAATGGCATGCGCCCAGGTGCCAATGAAGATGATGGTCTGAAAGGCGACTCAATTGAGCTGGCAGTTGGCAGCAGGAGGCGGGCAGCACTCACCGTATCCCGCCAGCCGAGAAACTTGTTCATCAGCGGCACGCCCAAAAGCATGGCAATGACAAAGGCAGCGGACTTGAAGGTCTTAAAGGTGCTGTAGGAGCTGACCTGCCAGTTGAACTTGCCAAATGTATACATATAAAAGTAGTTGCCCTCGTCGCGCTGGAAGGTGTAGAGCGCCATGCTAATGAGCAGGATGTAGAGGAAGATGCGTCTGTGGCCACGTCGCGGCTTGGTGAGCACCGTTATGGAGTCCTTGATATGCTGTCGATCAAAGTAGTCGCACCAAAAGCCACAGCAGCCCAATTCGCGCAGCGAGCGCTGATTGGGCGTCGTTTGCCACTGCATGAAGAAGGAGATGAGAGAAGCAGAGGATGCAATGGGGGCATCACAACGAGCAGCTGGAACTCACCTTCAGGGCAAACAGCGTATAGATGATGGCGAGCAGCAGCAGCGATGCATTCACTGCGAACATGTCCGCATACGACTCATTGAATGCGTTGTAGAAGAGGTATGAGCCGAGGGCCACGCCAGTCGGCATTGCAGTCAAATAGACTGCGTCTAGTATGGTCACCCTGATGGTGCGCTGCTGCAACGTTGTTATGTCGGAGATATACGCAAAGCAGGAGGCAAAGATGGCTACATCGGCGCCTGTTATGGCTGACGGCAACGTTGCCGTATAGATTATGTACTCCACCGGCCAGGTGGACATCTTGGCATTGACCACAATCATCGTGGAATAGATGAACTTTCCGACCAGACCCATCAGCAGGGGCAGTTTGCGACCGCGACGATCCGAGAAGGAGCCTAGAAATAATGCTAAAATAATGGGAAAAACATGCGCCGAGATGTTCTCCCACTGATGAAACGAAGCTGTGGTGTCCAGTACCTGGTTCTTATAGTCTTCGTTCTCTTTCTTATGGATATTCGTACAGATATCGTCGCTCAGCTTGTTATTGACACGACAAGCCTTTTGCAGAAAGAAGTTCTGCTCCACCACGGAGGTGATCATAAAGGCGAACATATATAGGAACATGGTTGGCTCCACTGAAATATTCCTGATGATGCTCATCAGGCGATGGCCGAGACTGCATCGCTGCGGCAAAACGACGCTGCTTGCCCCCGAGCTGCTGGAAATGCTAGAGCGTCCCGCATTTTCTGAGTAGCCCTAAAAATAGGCAACAGTTGTGCAAATTTACAATTGAACGAGGGAGAGAGCTTTAGATTGAGTAAGAGCGCTCGCTGCTGTTGTGTTGTGCTGTTATGTTATGTGTAGCGCACTCACTGCAGCTTAGCAGAGAGCACCACTGTTGTATACGTGCGCATGTGTATATGTGTGTGTGCCCGCGAGCGAGCTATTCGATTCAGCGCTTTGCTCAAGAGAGCCAGTGTGCTAGCTCGCAATTCAAGCTTGTTTGTTAGGCTATCGTAAATTGAAACCAATACAGCTGCGTTAACCGCACATGGGTTGCGAGAGCTTTCGTTAAAATTGTGAAATTTGTCAAAGGGCTGTTAAGCAAGTAACGTAAGTAAATAAAACAATTATTCGCTGGTATATGCGCATACATATCTATGTAAATGTGTAAAGTGATATTATATTATATTTAATGCAACACAATATGCATATGTTTGGACATTAAATATACATAATATAATATACATACATATGTATCTGGGATAATGTTATGAGATTATTTGACTATTTCTTGCAAGAAAATATGCATATAAATGTATGTATATACAAAATATATTTATCTGTTCGTTTTTTTTTTTTTGAAGTTGATAATAAATAATTAGTATTCTTAGTTTCACAATATTTAAGGTGCCCCTCGCACAAGCATGAAGTTATTCATATAAAACATACATACATACATTTCAATTCATTATACGTACAAGCATGAGCTTTTTGGTACAGCAAACACTAGCAAATGCTACGACGTACAGAGGGTCACAGCGAACGCAATCACATAACTGTACACGCGAAAAATTTCGATTTGTATTTTGGTTTACAAGAAGACTTATGCACCTTGCTTGCACGTTGCACAACAGCCGCTCTACACGGAGCAAGCGGACTCACCTCAGCGACGCTCATTTCAGCTGAGCGAAGTTTAGTGCTCTGCGAGCTCTCAGCAACGTGCCGCGCGTTTTTGTTGGTTTGCTCCATGGCAAAATCTGTTGTGTCTTTCGTTTATTCCTGCAAGCATAAACGCTTTTGCAATGTGCTCGCTCAGCATGTGTAAAGCTTTTTCGAGCCGTTAGCAATTTGAATTGTTGCGCGTTAGCCAATAGACAGAGATTATTGTTGTGCACTTATCGGGGTTTTCTCATTATTTAATTAACTTAATTAAACAACAGTGACGTGTTTACTATTTATATTCACGTTGTTCAAAGCTGGTTTAGTAAAATGATTGTGGTTAACGCGCGTTTACCCTATTTTATTAACTTTATTGTTCAGCTTATCTCAGCCATAATTTTCATTTCTATTTTATTGTTGTTAACGCGTTATCCGCCTGGGTAAATTTCGTCTGGACGATAAGCTAAGAAGCTAAAGCATTGATAAAGTCACAGAAATGTAGGATACCATAAATGCTAACAGTATCTTTGTGATAACGATAGCTGCTTCCTGGGCTATACCTGAGATTTCTGCTATGACGTTAGCCTATAGCTGAGATTTCTGCTGTAACAGTCGGCCATATAATGCCGTAATAGCTGTATAATCGGACACTATTAAATGGTATACCTCGTATACCCTAAATTCCTATATATATAGATTATAATTGAAACACTTCACGCTAAACCCTTGTCATATCGGTTACAGGTGTTTTCATTTAGTTTCATTTGCAATTTTAGCACTCTAATGTAGTATGTATTTAGTATAGGTACATTTTTCCGGCTGGATATGTTGTAATAGGTTAGTCCTTTAAGTCCAGGGTATTTAAAACTTTGGCTTGACGTATTTACGTGAATTCGCTTATTGAGTTGTTAAACACACTTCGTGACATTGCATTTCATTCGTTGTTGATAAACTTCGAGTATTACACACACATATGTAGACGACAGCCGTAGGTAGACGACAGCTCGACTAAAACGCTCTCAAGCAACTGCGAATAGGTGAAGCTAGAGAATGTGTCTTATAATCTTTATACTCAACTTATCAGTCAGCGGTGCAGTTATACGATTAACAACATAAATATTTATATATAAAATATATATATAGAATCATATGTATAAATACCTATATATATATATATATATATATATATATATATATATATATATATATATAATAGTATATATTTATGTCTATGTTTATGATTGTCTTGGTTGTAAACATAGTACATTTCGTAATTCGACTTTTCAAATTTGTAAGTGTCAGCAGTTGAAATTAGAGTATTTATAGTCTACGTTCTGCTGATGGAAACTTAATACTATGGCCTTAGTCAAATAAATAAAATATGTGACGGCATAATTTTCCTATATACCTATGGGTCTTTTACATATATGGCTTATTCATAATTCTCAGCTTATTAAGCAAGGGAATTTCGTGTCCATTTGCTTTTCTCTATCATTAAATTTGAACTCTTTAATTGTTTAAAGCAAACATTAATAAGAGAGAACATAGCCACTTACACACATACATATATACACAGCAAAGTCCAATCGAGTCTTTGTGTGCAACTGCAAGTGTTTAAATAACAAAATGAGCTTTAAGCATTACAGACTTGACCCTTAACAGAAAAACATTGACTCTTTTAACAGTGGGCCTAGCATAACAGAAATGTCTTACCGAACTGAAATGCGGCTGCGGCTGCGGCTGCGCTGTTAACTCATGGAAAAAAAAGTAGTAGAAAAACTTTTTAAGAGTCTTAAATCACTGGCAAAAGCATTTAATACTTTATACTTTGTAAAGTCTAGCACGAAATTAATAAATTTATATGTTCTTATACTTCCAGAAGCATCATTAATCATTAACAAGATGTGAGGATATTAGCCAGTTGACCTACGACAACAAATACCTGCCACATTTTGGAAAATAAAATTGATATATTTTTGTAATTAAGTTTTTAGAAAAATTAATTAAATAAATATATGATTGCAGGTTAGTACTTAAACCTGTCAAAAATTAAATTGTTTGAGTACGCTCGTGCTTACTGATTGATTTAATTGCATAGCATACTTTCGTGCATCCACTGGCAATTTCGGGCTATTAAATGCAGTAACATACTTTTTGGCGGCCGCTTTTATTAATATTTGGAATAATTGTAGTGTGGCATACTTTTGGGCGGCAGCAGAAAACTTTCGACATACACTAATTTTTGTAGCATACTTTCGGGCATGTCGGGAAATTTAGTGAGATGTCAAAATCCAGGTTTTAGGCTGGACCCAAAAAGTGCACAATTATAGCAACTTAAAAATTCAGATTTTGTGGCTGCGTTCAGCAGTTGGGCTTTTAATAAACTTAAATGTTATGATTTTTAGGGTGGACCCAAAAATAATACATTTTGTAAGCTATTAAAATGCGTTTTTTGTTGGATGCGTTCAAAAAGTTTACCGAGTCGAAATTTTATTATTTTTAGTAAGCTGAGGTACTGTGAAACTTGTACATCAAATTTTTGTTGAGCAGATAGCTGAATCAACAGATTATTAGGGTGTACCAAAAAAGTGCAAACTTAATGAAACTAATAATACTTCTTTTTTGTAAGAAATGAAACTCAAATCCGTGTATGATTTCTCTCAGTGCTGAGCAAAATAATTTATTGCAATTTTCTTTAATTTTCCAACAATTTTCGCGGCATTTGCTATGCGCCGTTTCTTCCCCTTTGCTGGTTGAGCGCCTGTCTGGATGACGGCTTGTTGGGCTTCCCAAGGCCTGGAGGTAACCTGAGCTGCAGCTTATTTTGTCGCTGCCGCTGCCACGCCCAGCCGCGCTAACCCTGACAAAGATCAACTGCGGCTAGCCACACTCACGAGTGCAGACTGTAGGCGCAATGGCCAGACTGCAGCAGAGCGACTTGCTTGAGTTCAGTTGAGAAGCAGCTGTCGAACGATTCACGTCGTGAGCTGCGGACGCTGTTAACAATAGACGCGAGCTAAAAGAGATGTCAGATACGGACAGCAGGCAGCAGGAGCAGCACGAGCTGCAGGTGGTGCGTATTGGGCACGCCAACGGCAGCTCCAGTGATAATCCCAGTCTGGACACCACGCCGAAGCTCTCCAAGCGCAACAGTTCAGAGCGCAGCCTGCCGCTGCGCAGCTACAGCAAATGGTCGCCGGTGGAGCAGGGGGCGACGCTCGTCTGGAGGGATTTGTGCGTTTACACGAATGTTGGCTCGGGGCGTGGCATGAAGCGCATCATCAACAACTCGACGGGGGCGGTGCAGCCCGGTTCGCTGATGGCTCTGATGGGCGCCAGGTGAGACGAGTTCAAGCTGCGCTTCAGCGCACCTAACTGTAATCGATATATGCTCGTTGCGGTGGAGCGGAGCGCAGACCGAAAAAAAATTCCTCTAACTGGGTTATGGCTAGCGCCTTAATCTTTGACTGATAAGCGCGGGGCTTAGTGGCTACAAAATAGTTTTATTTTCGCGCCACACTTAATGGCTACGCATCACGCATCACGCCTCATCTCATCCCATCCCATCTCATCTCGCCCCATCTCTCGACTCTCTCTTTCACAGTGGCTCGGGCAAGACGACGCTAATGTCAACACTGGGCTATAGGCAGCCAGGTGAGTTATCTGCGCCGATAAGATAAGCACCCACTAGCTCTCGCTGCTTGAACTACTTCCCTTTAGCTGGCACTGTGGTTCAAGGTGATATACTTATCAATGGGCGGCGCGTTGGTCCCTTCATGCATCGCATCAGCGGCTACGTCTACCAGGATGATCTCTTCATAGGCGCACTCACTGTGCTCGAGCATCTCAACTTTATGGTGCGAGCGAGCTTCATGCGATAATTCCCTTGACCTACTCATATAGCTTCTCTTGACTGCAGGCCCATCTGCGCTTGGACCGTCGCGTTTCCCGCGAAGAGCGTCGCCTGATCATCAAAGAGCTGCTGGAGCGCACGGGGCTGCTGTCCGCCTCCCACACGCGCATTGGCAACGGCGACGATGAGAAGGTGTTGTCCGGCGGGGAGCGCAAGCGCCTGGCCTTTGCCGTCGAGCTGCTCAACAATCCGGTCATTCTCTTCTGCGATGAGCCCACCACGGGACTCGATTCCTACAGTGCTCAGCAGCTGGTGGCCACGCTGCACGAGCTGGCCCAGAAGGGCACCACCATCCTGTGCACCATTCACCAGGTAACCACTGGCCAGCATCCGCCCCGTTCTCTCATCTCTCATCCCCTGCCCGTCTCTATTGCAGCCCAGCTCTCAGCTCTTTGATAACTTCAACAACGTGATGCTGCTGGCGGACGGCCGCGTCGCCTTCACGGGATCGCCGCAGCATGCGCTGAGCTTCTTTGCAGACCATGGCTACTATTGCCCGGAGGCGTACAATCCGGCGGACTTCCTTATTGGCGTGCTGGCCACAGATCCGGGCTATGAGCAGGCCTCCCAGCGCTCCGCCCAGCACCTGTGCGATCAGTTCGCCGTCAGCTCGGCGGCCAAGCAGCGCGATATGTTGGTCAACCTGGAGATTCATATGGCGCAGTCGGGCAACTTCCCTTACGATACGGAACTGGACTCCTTCAGGGGCGTCGCCTGGTACAAGCGCTTCCACGTGGTCTGGCTGCGTGCCACGCTGACGCTGCTACGCGACCCCACCATACAATGGATGCGCTTTCTGCAAAAGATGGCCATGGCCTTCATCATCGGCGCCTGCTTCGCGGGCACCACGGAGCTCACGCAGCTGGGCGTGCAGGCGGTGCAGGTGGGTTCAAGTCCAGTTCCAGCTGCATTGGCTGCACTGCATCTCATTCGTCTGCTTGCAGGGCACACTCTTCATCATGATATCGGAGAACACTTACCATCCCATGTACTCCGTGCTCAACGTCTTCCCCCAGGGCTTTCCGCTCTTCATGCGTGAAACCCGCTCCGGCCTATACAGCACCGCGCAGTACTACGTCGCGAACATTTTGGCCATGGTAAGCTGCCCTTGCAGGCCATCATCATCATCATCATCATCATCATCATCATTAGCTGATGGTTCTTTGTTTGCAGTTGCCCGGCATGATTATCGAGCCGCTGCTGTTCGTCGTCATCTGCTATTGGCTAACGGGTTTGCGAGCCACGTTCTACGCCTTCAGCATCACGGCCATTTGCGTTGTCCTGGTGATGAATGTGGCCACCGCCTGTGGTTGCTTCTTCTCCACGGCCTTCAACTCGGTGCCGCTGGCGATGGCGTATCTGGTGCCACTTGATTACATTATCATGATTACGTCGGGCATCTTCATCAAAATTAGGTAACGCGAACAGTTTCAAACGGAGAGACCTTTTTTTGCTTTGTCTGGTATCACCCCCTCTTGGAGGGGAGCGGTATCATGTTGCTCTGCTTGTGTGTGTCATAGGGAAGAAGATTGGATATAATTAAGTGCTTGATGGGGTGCAGAAGGGCAGGAAAGTGTGTAGGTTGCTCTATATGGTCACGTATATCTGTTGCTGTACACCTACGAGGCGTATACTTGATAAGGATAATGATTGAATATTGAGATGATTTGAGCACAGCTCGAGGACGATTAGAGCTCTATAGCTGAGGCTTATTATTTGGAACAATCCCTAATAGTTGGACAAGGGAATTGCAGGGTATGCTCAAGTCTAACTCTTATCCTTACCTCTTCTCTCTTACAGCTCGCTGCCTGCGGCATTCTATTGGACGCAGTTTATATCCTGGATGCTGTATGCGAACGAGGCCATGACGATTGCCCAATGGTCGGGCGTGGAGAACATAAGTGAGTCACCTGCTGACACTAACACTAACCTGCTCCCATTCTCATTCTCTGCCTTCCTCTCTCACAGCCTGCTTTGGCGAGAGCGCCGACTTGCCCTGCTTCCACACCGGCCAGGACGTGCTGGACAAGTACAGCTTCGAGGAATCGAATCTCTATCGCAATCTTTTGGCCATAGTCGGCATCTACTTTGGCTTCCACGTGCTGGGCTACTATTTTCTCTGGCGACGCGCGCGCAAGATCTAGAAATAACTTTGTTCTCATTTGCTTTGCTGTAAATACGTTTTTCAATTTGCATAATAAATGCTAAGTAATGCTTTTTTATTAACAACAATTTTATTGCGACACACATTTACAGTAATTAACATTGAATTTGAATTTGAATCTGGAGTTGGAGTTTGAATTGGAAATGAATCAAACTGCGAGCTACGTTGAACATTTAACATTTCCACTTAAATTGACACATATTGTACTCTGATATATGTTTTATATATGTACTACATATATATATGTATATATATAGTAGAACAGCTTTGTAGAAAAACTTAGTTAAATTATAGTTTCAAGTCGAAGAAAAATATTTTCTCAATTACAATTTCGAACTTTTTGTGTTTTGCTTTTGAGTTTTTCTTTGTTTTAAAGCTAAAACTATGTAACACAAGTCTATAAAATAATCTATACATTTATAATAGAAATCACAGCGAGAATTGATTTTCGGTTTTATATATCTGCTCTTTGGTTTAGTTTAGTTTTAGGTATTCGTTTATATAATACATAGAGTTTAGCTTTAAAATTAAGTGTTGTTCCTTCAGCAACATTAAGACACACATACACAAACACTCACTCACCCACACACACTCTCTCTCTCTCACACACACATACATATATAAGTCTAACGTACACGTAAAGCGTTTTAACAATTTGAGCTTTGGTTAGTATATAGTTCTTTAAAGAAGTTTCATTTCCAATCAACACTTCTGAATACTTTTTGTATACCCTCTAATTATATTATGAAACACACTTTCAACATCTTCCATCTCCATCTCCTCTTTAGATCCTACAAATTGACTCGAGTCACATTTCTCTATAGTTTCGATACATTTGATGGTAACAAAGCTTAGAAACTGTTGCATTTGTATACCCTGTAAATTGAGTACAGTTGCTCTAATAACAACTACAAATAGTATACATGTATATATATATATATATATTTATATAGGAACCTGGTCATAGTGCTCCCTTA